TGGGAGAACAAATCTCAAATCTGCCTTCCTGAAAATGGGGATTAGGGATATGTATGGGATAAAGAGGCAGGGTGGGTGGTCTGAAGTATGGGGATAGATGTTTGGAGGTAAGGATAAGTGAGGTAATAGATGATCTGGACAAGTGTAGTCAAGCCTCATGGCTCTTCATAGGATGCATGTTCACAAAATGGTGGTGTTAGCATGATCTGAGGGTGGAATTTTTGGCTTCCTGACATCAAAGGGTCACCTATTAGGCATTTTCACAGGCCCAGTTGACAGTCAGTGGTCTTAACTGGCCTGAACTGGACGAGGAGTTGACTCCCAGTTCCTGAAAAACTTAAGCACTCATTACCATGGTGAACCAAGTGTCAGAGATATTATCTATAGGGTGGGCTTTAGTAATACGTTATCTACCTACTTTTGCAAATAGACAACTAACTGAATGTAGTGAAAGCAAGTTGGCCCCTGGTTTGAGTAGCAACACAGCAGTCGAAGAGTTTGACGACAGGAGTGAGATGGGATAATGAAAGGAGGAAGATCCCTAAGGAAGCAGGAATAGATAATGTTGATAGCATTAAGTAGTAGCAGGAGGAGCTAATGTTCATTTAGCAATAGAAATGTGCCAAATGGTCTTCTAAATGCTTTACAAGTATCAAGTCACTTAATTCTCGATGATTCTATGAGGTAAATATTATCAGTCAAGGAAATAGAGGCACAGAGATGTCAAGCAACTTGCCCAGTCTGATAGCTCATGAATGGTGCAAATGGGATTCAAAACCAGGCAGTCTGGATCCAGAGTCAGTGCTCTTTTGTTTTTTTTTTTTTGTGAGGAAGATCAGCCCTGAGCTAACATCCATGCCAATCCTCCTCTTTTTTGCCGAGGAAGACTGGCCCTGGGCTAACATCTGTGCCCATCTTCCTCCACTTTATATGGGACGCCGCCACATGGCCTGACAAGCGGTGCATTGGTGCGTTCCCGGGATCCAAACCCGCGCCGCCAACAGCAGAGCGCACGCACTTAACTGCTACGCCACGGGGCCAGCCCCCAGAGTCAGTGCTCTTAATCACTGCCCTCTACTGCTGGCTGATAGTTGGGGTCCAGAGCACAGGTGGAGGACTGGCCTGACAGGAAGAGAGAAACTTGACTGCACCACTCTATTAGATTTCTATGGCTGCATAACAAATTAACACACACTTAATGGCTTAAAACAACAACCATTTCTTATCTCACAGATCTGTAGGTCGTAAGTGTGAGCAGGCTCAACTGGGTTCTCTACTTAGCAACTCACAAGACCAAAATCAAGATGTCATCAGGGTTGGGCTCATATCTGGGGGCTCTGGTGAAGACTATGCATCCATAGTCATTGAGGTTGGCAAAACTGAGTTCTTTCGGCTATAGGACTGAGTTCCCCATTTCCTTGCTGGCTTTAGTCAGGGGCCTCTCTTTTTTTTTTTTTTTTAATTAAAAAATTTTTCTTTTCCTCCCAAAGCCCCAGTAGATAGTTGTACGTCATAGTTGCACATCCTTCTAGTTGCTGTGTGTGGGACGCGGCCTCAGCATGGCCTGACAAGCAGTGCGTTGGCGCACGCCCGGGATCTGAACCCCGGCCACCAGTAGCGGAGCACACGCACTTAACCGCTAAGCCACAGGGCCGGCCTGGGGCCTCTAATTCAAATTTGCTGCAATTAGTAATTAGAATCTGCTGCATCCCTTGCCTTGTAGCCCCTTCCTCTTTATGTTTAAAGTCAGCAATGGCATGTGGAATCTGTCACAGGCTTGGAATCTGAGTTCCTGTATTGCTACAGCCAGAAAAAACTCTGGAATTTTAAAGGGCTCTTAGGATTTGGTTAGGAATACCCAGATAATTTTCCTTTCCTTGTGCTTGTAAAGTAATCTAATCATGAGTGGAAAATTCATCATATTAACAGTCCTGGAGATTAGGGAGAGAAATCTTGGGGCCCTTTTAGGATTCTGCCTACCACAACTATGATGATGGATTCGTGGGATGTCTTGGTGAAGGGAGGTCCCAGGGCTTGTAATGCCTTCCTGGATAGGGGTGGACAACACTCAACTTGAAGAGAGATGTGTGAGGATGAAGGTTTGAATAGGTGACTAGCAAATTTTTGGTTTGTTAGTCAGCTGTACGGGCTCAGTTGAGTTTGGAGGTGATGAATTTGTGGGGGTACCAATCTGCATGGCTGTGTGGTTTTTCTCTAGCAGTCTGGGTATAGGTGCAGAGGAGGTTTGAGGTCTGAGAAAGCTGGGCAACAGGACCAAGTTAAGGGAGATGACAGGCTTAAGTGATGTACTCTGGAATCTAGGCCAGAAACAAGACAGAACCAGAGTGAGGGAGTAGCGACAGTAGTTAACTTGCAAGGGCTGCAGGGGATGGCCAGATTCCAGTTAAAGCAGGAAATGGAAGAAGGCTCCAGTAAGAGGTTAAAGATATAGAGCAGTGCTTCTCCAAGTGTGGTCCCCAGACCAACAGTATTAGCATCATTTGGGGACTTGCTAGAAAGGAAAATTCCCAGGTCCATCCCAGACCTTCTGAATCAGAAACTCTGGAAGTCTGGGAGCACGGGAATCTGTTTTAACAGGTACTCTGTTTTTGATACCCCAAAGGTTTGAGAATCATTGATGCAGATTTTTTCATATTGTTTAAGAAAACTTTTTTTTTTTTTTGAGGAACATCGGCCCTGAGCTAACATCTGCCAATCCTCTTTTTGCTGAGGAAGACTGGCCCTGGGCTAACATCCATGCCCATCTTCCTCCACTTTATATGGGACGCCGCCACAGCATGGCTTGATGAGTGGTGCATCAGTGCATGCCTAGGATCCGAACCGGCGAACCCCGTGCCGCCACAGCAGAACGTGCGCACCTAACCACTTGCGCCACGGGGCCGGCCCCT